GATTTGCATCTCTCGGACAATTAGTGACTTTGAGCATGTTTTCATGTGCCTTTTGGCCTTCCTTCTGTCTTCTTTTGAAAATGTTCTATTTAGGTCCATTGCCCATTTTTTAATTGGATTATGTATCTTCCTTTTATTTAGTTGTATAAGCTGTTTGTAGATGTTGGAGATTAAACCTTTATCAGTGGTATCATTTGCAAATATGTTCTCCCACACTGTGGGCTTTCTTGTTGTTTTGTTGATGGTTTCTTTTGCTGTAAAAAAGCTTTTTATTTTGATGTAGTCCCATTTATTTTCTCTTTAGCTTCCATTGCCCTAGGGGTAGTATCAGTGAAGAAGTTCTTTTGGCATACGTCTGAGATTTTGCTGCCTGTGGATGCTTCTAGTATTTTTATGGTTTCCCGTCTGATGTTTAAGTCCTGTATCCATTTTGAGTTTATTTTTGTGAATGGTGTAAGTTGGTGATCTAGTTTCATTCTTTTGCCTGTGTCTGTCCAATTTTCCCAACACCATTTATTGAAGAAACTGTCTTGACTCCATTGTATATTCGTGCCTCCTTGGGACAACATCTTTGGACAAATCAATTTGCTCAGCCATTGGGGAAACTCCTTTGACTAGTGGAGTGCAAATTTTCTTTTTATAGCTGACTTGTGCCTGATTGGAACCTTGATGAGTAAGGAGTCTTTATGGTTTCACTAACTGAAAGCATCAACTTATCAAGTTTTAAATAACCAATTTTTCCTTGCTTAATGACACGGAACTCTGCAGTCTTAATCAGGTACCTATATAACCCCTGAGTGGATTCCAAGAAAATTTGTGAGGGATGTTTTGCTCTGTCTCCAAGCAAACCGATGATTAATCTCTATTCAGGGCACGCCAGCTTTTCAGTTTTTATCTGCATCTCATTTTTTATATATACTATCAACCTGGCTGATTTCTCATGTACTCTAAGGCAGCGTTTTTCAACCGCTGTTCCGCGGCACCGTAGGTGCAGACAAGACAAGAATTTTATAATTTTTCACTATTTTGTTTACTTAATATTTCATAATAAAGTAATTATAAAATACTTTCTTTGTGTTTATTTGATTCCTATTCAAGAGAATTACTTTATATATATCAATATAGGCACAGAGTTAAATTTTTTAACATTTTCTAATGGTGGTGTGCCTCGTGATTTTTTTCATAAAACAAGTGTGCCTTTGCCCAAAAAAGGTTGAAAAACACTGCTCTAAGGTATATGAATCAACAAGATAAAATAGCAGTACTTCAGTGGTTCAAGGCTCACCAGCTCTAGAGAAAAACAGACCTAGAAACTCCTGTTTGAGATATCTGTAAGCTTCCTGTGGCTCTTGGTTTTCTTGGTCATCTATTTTCTTTTTCAGATGCACCATGAGTTTTAAAAATTAATTTTACATTCAAATTCAATTTATAAACTATAGACATGTGTTAATTTATATGTTTATTCTAAACCATATATAAAACAGAAAATACTAAAGAATAAGAAAAATAAATAAAGTAGAAGCTCTGTTATTTACCTATGACCCAATGGATCATTTGTGTACCTTTAGGGTTCTACATTCCACACTGATGAACCCAGCTCCTGTGTACAAACAAAGGCAGAGGAAAACAGTGCTGGCCTTAGCTTAACCTGGAACAGACGACCTTGTCAACCCCAGCCCCATCTTTCATACCTTTACTTTCTTTAATTTTCCTGTTACTTTTACCCAGAGGATGTTTACAGCTTCTATTCTATGCTACCTACTCTTCAAACTTTATTTATATAAAATAAAATACAAGTTAATCAAAAGATAATTGCTTGGAAGGAGGGGATAAGAAAGACTTAAAATGTACCTTCACATTTGGGTCATTAAAAAAGGAGTGCACTCTTAGGAAGAGAGTAGCTCTAGGAAGAGAGAAATGTTAAAAGACTTCCCATAGTCTATCTACACATGTTGGAGGAACAAAAACCTTTCTTCCACCCTCTCTGTATAAGATGATAATCATTTTCCAGAAATGCAGAGGCAATGTCCTTGTACCATAAGCAGTGATCACCAGTGGTAAGGGTGCAGGCAAAAAGCACTGTTCATTGTCTATAGAGAACTTAAAAATTCGTATAAAAGTCAACTCAATTTTTATTATTACCATATACTGGCAATTCTAAATAATGTAGATGGTAAAACACTCTTTCCCCAAAACACTGACCCAAACAATTGCTGTGATTACTGTTGAGTTTTGATAATGATATGTAAACTTCAAATTAGCAAATACTTATTTTAGAGTCATGTTCTACATGGAATTAATTCAGAAAACTCCTCTTGTATAGTAAGTCCCCACATACTCAGTAAAGGCCTTCATTTTTGTTGATTCTTAACAGTTCAGAAATGTTCAAGTTTACATTTGTGTCATCAATCCCTATGCTACTAAATATTTCTGCAATTAAACAGTAGATTCCAAACGAGCAGTGACAACTCAGTGCTTATAAAGACAAATTAGCAGAACTCCAATTACATCAATTTGGTCATTCAATATTATTATGAGGAGTTTAATTGTGCTTCAAAATATAAATTAAAAGATTGTGCAAACTGAGAGGTATAATATTATATTGGTAAATACAGATTTTAGTTGGCACAAAAAGATTAGATGTGAACAATATATTTAAATTCACATTCATTCTTTTAATAGTTATTTTTGTTTTAAAACCAAATAATGAATAAAAACTAATGATTATTATTGATCATTACATAATAATGACTGAAAATAATTTGTTGTGACAGAGGTGTTGGAAGTGGTCCCCTCTGGGTGTCCAATGCACTAGGCATGCCACTGAATGCAAGTGTTACCCAGAAGTGCTACTCACTATACCTGTCCAGGCTCCGTTTAATCTAAGAATACTCTTGTGTAATCCTGTTCTCTTCTGTTTCCCTGCCATTATCAGCAAACTCATCAGCTGATGCCATTGAATTCCTATTTGCAAATCAACATCCTGGTCATCTACTTTCTTAACCTGAGTCCTAAACTTTTTTCTCATCTTCTTTTTTTAGATTATCTATGTATGTACAAATTACTCTCAGATTTATGTCTTTGACTCTGACCTTTCCCCTGAACCCCATCCTTCTTTACCAATTGCCTATGCCACAGTTCTATCTGGATGTTTAACAGGCATATTAAATTTATCATCATCATCAATATTCTGGTGATAGCTACTCTTCTTCCAGGATTCCCCATTTCAATAAATGGCATCATTTTTCAGTAAGTTGTTCAGAATAACCTTCATCTTTCACTGTTCTCTTTCCCCTGTACCCCACACCTAATCCACCAGTGAGCTCTAAAAAGGCTCATCCTTCTATCTATATCTAAGCCAAATACATACAATCTCCATTCCTTCCCTGACTACCTCTGAGATCTGGAACTCTGCAAACATTTCCTGCCTTGTCTCCTTGTTTATCTGTTTTTCCTCCAGTTTCTTTCCCACAGGGGCCTTAGTAAGCTTTACAAAACATAAATCATCTTGTGTTATTCTCCTGAACAAAACACTCCAGTAATTATCTGTCCAATTTACAATGAAGTCCAAAGCCCTTTATTGATTTAACAAGATTTAATGACATGGCCCTGGTTGTATTTTTTTTTTTTTTACCTCTTTTCTAACTTTTCTTTCCCTTATTCACTTCACTCACTCTGATCACTCACTGTCTTTGTAGCTATTCATTCAACACACCAACCATCTCCTTACCTTAACCTCTCTTTTTAAAATATATATTTTTATTGATTTCAGAGAGAAATGTAGAGGGAGAGAGAAACTCAATGGTGAGAGAGAATCATCTATAGCACATGTGTCAAACACAAGGCCCGCAGGCCAAATCCGTCCCGCCAGGCCTTGCAATGTGGCCCGCACCGTGCTGTCATCACTGCACCCCGCTGCGTTTCCATCACAATGACAGTTTATGACTGTTCAGTAAACCATTCGGCCCGCGATTTAGGCTGGATTTTAGATTTTGGCCCCTTCTCTGATTGAGTTCGACACCCCTAATAGGCTGCCTCCTGTACAGCCCCCACAGGGGATGAGACTGCATCCTGGACATGTGCCTTGACCGAGAATCCAGCTGCGACCTCCTGGTTCTAGATCAACACTCAACCACTGAGCTATGCTGACTGGGCTCCCTGCCTTGGGCTCTTTACACCTGTTTGCCTCTTAGCCTGAAACATTTGCCCCAACTCTTCCTCTGTCTCACTGCACGTACACCTTTCCAGGTCATTGCTCATAGGTTACCTTTTCTGAGATGCCGTCCCAGAGCACACTGCATTATAAGCAACAGCACAGAGGCACACTCAGTTGTCTTGCCTGATTTCTTTTTCTTCATAGAATTTTTAAATATATGACATATTATATATTTATCTCCCACATTGCAATCTAGTATCAAGAGCACAAGAACTTTGCTTGCTCAGGATCTCCGCTGACCATGTGATACCTGCCACCTTGATGAGACAAGGTCAAAGACAAAAAGTCAATAAACTCAGACTGGTGGAGAGAAAGGGGGAAAAGATCAGGTTGATAATGACCCTGTGGATTCTCCAAAAGAGCCTTGGAATCTAGCACCATTCTCTGGTTAAGTAAACAGTACACTTCTTTGTTTGTACAATACCAGTCATCAAATTTTCTACTTTCCAACAGGTGGGATTAGCCTGGGAAAATAAAATCATGTCTTAACAGGTGATGAGTAGAGCCCTCACTCAATAGACCATAAATAACCTTTTCCTGATTTAAAAAAACAACACACAAAAAAAACAATTGGCCTGTAATCCAGGGCAGTCAACAGAAAATCCATGTGCCAGCCTTATCAGATTGCCAAGAAGAAAAGAGAGGGAAGAACAGCAAAGCCAGATAATTTTCCTTGGCACTAGAGATGCAGAACAAAGACAGCCAGTATTTACCAAAGAAAAACTAAAGTTCATTACTGTTGTGTGCACTCCCCAATTGGCAGCATCTCTGAAAATATACTACGGAATGTGTTTGCATGTGTGCACGTGCTTGTGTGTTAAGCAGTACCCGGGTTATAAAACATCCTTGCCTGAAGGATTTTTTGCAGACCTTTGCAGACCTTTTCTGAGCTTTTTGGTAAGTGAGTCCTCTCTGCAGCCACCTTCCCTACTTATCCAACCCACTTAGAGAGATCCAAACTCCATCCGGACATTTCTCCACGTTCTCTTCTCCCTTCCTTCCCAGCCACACTGGGGTTCAGAGCTTTTAACTTTGTTCCAATCTTTCCTCCCAGCTCCAGGATACTGCCTTTCCACAAAATGAAGCCTACTACTTGCAGCCTTCTCATCCCCATCCTTCTCCTGCTGATGAGCCCAGGGAGAACGGAGCAGTCTTTAGACTCCATTGTGGATGAAAGGATAAAGGAAGCTCTTCAAGGTTTGGGTAATTGACTAGAACTGGGGGAAATGAGACAATAGCCCCTGATCATGCTGCCTGCTCCTACACCCTAGCTTCTCTGCTATACCATCCCTGAAGCCCAATCTCTAATCACTCCACTCAAGCCCAAGATTCCTCCCCAGGGCTTCCCCACTCCCTCATCTCCTTTTGGACTCTTGGCTAAAAGTTCAGATTTCCTTGATATAATGAGACTGATGGTGCTGATGATGAGGGGGAAGAGGAGGAGGAGGATAGTAATAATTTATGAACACTCACTGTGAATGAGGTATGATGAAAAGCTTTACATAGATTATTTCAGTTAATTTTCACTTTCTGGGGTAAGTACAACTATTGTTTTCATTTGAAAAATGAGAAAACTAAGCATTAAAACTAGTTATTCATGGACATAGGTGCATATTTGAGGAAGAAGGAGATTTAGGAGGGCATTATGGGAAACAGAGCATGGGCAATACCCCTTCTTCTCTTCTACTTAGACTGCAATCCACATGCCCCAGCAAGCATCTCATGTACCAGTGTCACCAACTCCGGCAAACTGTCCTCCTGCCCTGCAGGTAAGTAATTCCATGAGGAGGGATGGGGGTAAGATGCCCTGTAATCTCCCCTGTCCATCCCCAGCTGAGTAATGACTCCTGACTCCCAGAGATCGCTTACCCATTCTCATTTCTCTTAAGGAAGCTACTGAAGGATCTTAGGTTTCTGCCTCTTCCCTCCCCACCTTCCTTTCATGACCTGATATATGAGCCCTTCCTCTTAATGGTCCTGTTATAATCCTATCCCCTACCAAGTCCCCTGCCATTTATTGTTCTTTTTCAACCTATTGCCCTGTTTCAATGGGTAGAGGTGAATTTATCATGAATGTGAGGGAACAGAAGTACCTAGGCCCCTCACTTTCACAGATCTCCTCCATGGCCATATACTAAATTTTTTATTTTATTAAAAAGGACTTTCACAGTGGAATTATCTTTAGACCTCTCAAAACCTAGATCTATCTCCACTCACCACCGCCTTCCGTCTGAAATTCATCATATATATTTTTGATGTTATCATACTGGCTAAGGTCTCCTCTAGCTTCTCAAAATCTCAGAGCTCTGACCTCCATGTCTTATGTGCCTATACAGGAACTTCTGTCACCGGCTGTGCTTGTGGTTATGGCTGTGGCTCCTGGGATATCCGAAGGGAAACCACGTGTCATTGCCAGTGCAGTGTGGTCGACTGGACCACTGCCCGCTGCTGCCGACTGGTCTGAGGAGGAGGAGGAGAACCCCATTGTGTGATCATGACTGCAATGCACCAGGACCCCACACAGGAAACATGACTCAAAGTCTCCCTTTCATTTGTTAACCCTGCTTCTCCGCTAATAAAGGCAATTTATGCATCTATCTGTGTATACATATATTTATTTATTTATTTATTTATTTTAATATATTTTATTGATTTTTTACAGAGAGCAAGAGAGAGGGATAGAGAGCTAGAAACATTGATGAGAGAGAAATATCGATCAGCTGCCTCTTGCACACCCCCAACTGGGAATGTGCCCGCAACCAAGGTACATGTCCTTGACCGGAATCGAACCTGGGACTTTTCAGTCCGCAGGCCGACACTATCCACTAAGCCAAACCGGTTTCGGCTACCTATATATATTTAAATTTATCTTTATTGTTGAAAATATTGCAGATGTCCCCTTTGTGTCCCCTCACCCCCCATTGACCCCCTCTACCCTGCACCACCCCTCCCAGGCCTTCATCATACTGTCTGTGACCATAGGCAATGCATATATGCATATAAGTTCCCCAGTTAATCTCTCTCCATCCATCCTTGCCTTCCCTCTAAAATTTGTCCTATATATTTTGATGTTACCACTTCTGCCTTAGGATTCCTTTAGCCAGAGAATGTTTCTAGCATCCCAATTACTCCATCTTAGCAAGAATTAGGAAAAATATGAGGAAAATGGGGAAAGTTGAGATGGACACTCTCGTTCTTTTATTATTTAACAAAAGGGTAATGACTTTGTATCAGGCATTTTGCTTGGTAGTAGAGGTACAAAGAAATAAAATAATACATGTTCTTTTATGGCCTCACCAACTACTATGGTGGGCTCCAAACTAGGCACCGGCTGACTTTCCAAGATGAAGGCTGGTAAAGGCAGTTTTATAATAACCAATTTCTAGATTTTTTTATTTGTATATGTATTGTTTCCTAAATGTTTTGCTAAGATCTCCTTTAATCAAGGTGATAAATTTGCCATTTATCATAACAAAATGAAAACAAGCCCTTATCTGTCACCAAACCTTCCATGATTCATTGCCCTGGGTTATAAAAATCTGTTGAATGTCAAAAAATGATTCAAAATATGGTGCCAATGTTGAGTGATTCAGTGACTGGATGACAAGTCTTTTACAAGTTAAGATGCTTCCAGGTTTTTACTCAATACTAGAGGAGGACTTAATCCAGTTATCAGTGGATAGGCCACCAAAAAATAACTTTTAATAGTAAGTTGCTGTGTGATTTTTAACTAATAATTCAAAAGGAAGTCAAACAAATTGAACAACATTACTATAATAAAAATTCTCCTTCCTACATACTTAATTATGAAGTAGTCTCAAAGCTTATAACTATGAGAGGAAGAAAATAGGAATATAAACTTTATTTCTCTCTAAGGTTATTTATTCATGGGTATATAAAATACTTGGGAGAAAAATAGCCTCATCTCTCTCATTTAAGAAATACATTTACAAAAGATGTCATTTATGTTTACCAATTACTTCTCAAATTTTCTTAGGTTTTGTTCAGTTGTGTATTATTAGTCATTGCAATAATTAAAATGGACTCCTATTTATGGCAGCTAGAGTGAGTTTTAAAAAATTTAAAGCAGCTGAGACCAGTTTGGCTCAATGGATAGAGCGTCGACTTGGGGACTGAAGGGTCCTGGGTTCGATTCTGGTCAAGGACATGTACCTTGGTTGCGGGCACATCCCCAGTAGGGGGTGTACAAGAGGCAGCTGATTGATGATTCTTTCTCATTGATGTTTCTAACTCTCTATCTCTCTCCCTTCCTCTCTGTACAAAATCAATAAAATATATATTTAAAAAAAAAGAACGAAAAAAATATAAACCAAATCATGTCACTTTCCTGTCCAAAGTACACTTCTAATGACTTCTCATTGCACAAAGAATAAAATCCCAAATATTTATCGCGACCAAGAAAACCCTACATGTAGCCATTGGTTATATCTCTGACCTCATTTCTGATCTTTGCTCACTTTGTTCTGCCCATACCTGTGTTCTTTGTGTTTCTATAAGTTAGAATCACTCTCCCACCTCAGAGCCTTTCCACTTGGTGTTCCCCACATAGAGTTACATGGTTCTCCACATACAAGGTCAAGTCTCTGTATTTTTCAGAGAAGCCTTCCCATCATGCCTTATCTCTTGCCCTCCCACTTTTTTTAAAAAATGCTTCTCAATCCTGATATCATAATATGTATTTATCTATCAATTCTTCCGTGGGACATGTGATCCATGAAAGATGAAACCTTATTTAATTTGCTTGTCATTGAATACCAAAATAGTGCCTGGCACATGGAAGTGCTGTAATAAATAATGAATGAGTCTACTATTTAGTTCAACTTCAAGTCTGAGTCCATTTTCTCTCTTCTTTCCTTTCTTTCTTCCTTTCTTCCTTCCTTCCTTTTTTTCCTTCCTTTCCTCCCTCCTTCCTTCCCTCCTTCCTTCCTTCCTTCCTTCCTTCCTTCCTTCCTTCCTTCCTTCCTTCCTTCCTTCCTTTCTTCTTTCTTTCCTTCTTTTCTTTCTTTCTTTCTTTCCTTTACCTCAACCCTCCATTCTCAAGGTGCTTATAGGAGAAATAGGTGTACATCAGAGGGCACCTCTTTTTAAAGAAAAGCCAAAGAGAGATGATGGAGGCTAAAGAGGTTGGCAACTATAGATGCAGAAGTCAGATTTTATAGCTCTGCCTGAAATAGTTTGTTGTCCACTCAGTGGCCAATTTTCCCTTTATCTGTGTTAATATCCTGATATTACATCAGGGTGGTCATGTGCCCAGTGCTAAATGCTAAATTACTGTTTAAACCAATAATCAAGTTCTTGCTCCTCTTGGCCATATATTCTCTATCTTAGACACCTCTGTATGGGGTGGAATTGTGGCATGGGACAAAATCAGGCCAAGAAGACAGAAAAACTCTGGACTTCCTGGGAGAGTTTGTTCCCTGAATAAAAAAACAGAGTTTCAAAATTATCCATAATCCTTGTTGCTTTGAATGTTGGTGTGAGGATGTGAGTCTGGAGTTGTCACCATGGAGTTAGTTAATCATTTTGTGACTTTTGAGAAAAAAATCATAAAGATTGTGAAGTAGAATGGGGGGTGGGGGGGGTCTGAGGCTATAAAAATATTACTCAGCCACTGAACAAAGTCTAGAGAGCCATTGAACCTCATTTCTTCATAAGTCACTAATAAATATTTGCTTTACAAATATTTATTGAGTTCTGCTAGGTGACAGGCTTTGGGATATAGTAGAAGCTAAAATGGACAGGGATTACTGCCTTTATTGAGCTTCTATTCTAATTTTAATCCTTTAGCAATAGGGATTTTTGTTACTTTCCCTCAGGCAGAATTAGTCAAGGGCAATGTAGTGGTATCTGAGCAGATGACAACTAGGACTCTTAGAGCACACCTCTTCTACCTCTTCCTGTTGAAGGAATGAACAAAGGTCTATCATGGGAGATGTCACCAAACTTGCCAATTCCTGACAGGGTGGCTGACCGCTTGTGGGGCTGCCAAGAAGAGAAGAGGGGGAAAATGAAGAAAGGCAGAAGGACTTCCCTAAGGCAGAGAGCCAAAGCAAAGGCAGCTGGCATCTCTCCAGACACACACTAGAGATTGTTTTAGGCTCTTTCTGAAGGTTTTACCCTCTCCAGCTACCTTAGACCTCAAGCTCTGCCTTCTTTGTTGGTGAAGATAAGTCAATGCCCTTGATAGGACACCAGAGTGTAAAACATCTCTGCCCTCCCAAACTCAGAAGCTTTTTCCCAAACCTGGCTGGGTGAGTGTGATGCATAGCTCTCTTCCCTAGCACCCTGCTTCTTGAGAGTGCTGCAGAGATGCAAGCCGCCTTGGCCTTGCTGCTTTCCTTCCCCTGCTCCCAAGAGTACCTATTTCTACTTTCCCCTTCTCCTCCTCTCCGTTAAGGATTCAGGAGTTGTTTTCCATCTTCTGTCCATATTTTCTTTCATCACAGGTTGCTCATCTTCTCATTGCCCTTCTCTAACTAATGATCTCAGGGGATGCTCAATGTTCCTTACATTTTGCTATGAATGAAAATATAAGAACATCTCTTAGTGAACTGGGTGGCTGTATGGGGGGAGGTGGCAGAAAGAGGGGAAGTCATGCTCAGTTCTGCTCCTAGACTCCAGTCCATTTACCACTTCATCTCCAGATGGCAATCTCCAACTGAAAGACTCATCTTAAAGCCCTGCCCTCTTCATCCTTTCTGGTGCTTAGAGCTGCTGGTGATGCAGAGGTGAAAACTACATTTAACATTCTTGATCACATGCTGTATGCGAAGCACTGCTAGGTGTTATCTTATTATTTTCTTAACTCCTAAGTACAATGCTATGGGGTAAGCATTGCTATTTCCATTTTACAAAAGAGGAAACTGAGGCTTAGGAAAGTTACATAATTTTGCCAAAAGCACATGCTATTAAGTGATTGTTCGTGGACACAGTGACTCCTTTGTGTGAGCATAAAGGTGATATGCGATTTGTGGAAAGGATCTGGTCAGTTTAGCCCTATTTTAGCTTTCTGTCTTGCCCATAGAGTGTAAGCCCTCAGGTTGTAAAAAATAGCCCTCCTGTACCAGCATCACTAATGAAGTTAATTAGTCATCCTACCCCTCAGGTTAAGTAGTTATATGAGAATAAAGGTGCTTGCTCTCTCCAAACCCATTCTCATGCTCCTAGGCTCAAAGTACCAGCAAGTTGTCCCAAACTTCAGGACTCTAATGTCACTGGGTTGAATTCCAATTCCAATATCAATAATTTTCTTCCATCATTTTCTCCCAAATTGCTGCCTAAGAATCCGAGGTATCTTTCTACTCTCTCCCCACTTCCTTAATCTCACTCACACACCCTCTTTCCCCCTCCAATTCCTTGCCATGTTATCTACCTCCTACTCCATGTCCTCTGTCTCCCTCTCCCAATCTAACCTTACATTGTTTCTGCCCCATCAGAAGGGTAATTAACCAAAGGCCTCTCTCAACATCTAAGAGCTGTGGTTTTCTGTCCCTACCCCAGGTCATGCTGGGATGTTTGATGGCTACACCTGTGGCTCCTGGGATGTATAGGCAAAAACCATATGCCATTGCAGTAC